TAACTTTCAAAAATTTCGCGACCCATTCTCGGGGGAGGGGCGCCTCCCCTCCCCCCAAACTCGGACCGCCATTGATGTATATGTATAACAAATAATGATTGATCAGCCGTCTTGCGTAGCGTGGCATGAGCCTAACAATTATGCACGGCAACGCATGTGAAGCAGCTGTGTGACAGAACGTTTTGCAAAATTTATTTGCCTGCTTCCCATAGTAAACAGCTCTGAATGCCTCTTCTAAATCTTACGATTTTTAAAAACAGTATTTTTGTTTACCGTGTTACAAAAAAGCTCTAAATCCTGTGATAAACTTTGAAGCAATATCTACTAAACCCGATGAAAAGGTACTTTGGTGTGTAAGAACTGCATCTAATAGGATTTATTCGAAGAAACATTGAAACAAAAACCTATTCCGATATCCGAAACCTAGCCGAAGGCTATAAAACGGTGTTGTATCCAATCTAGAATCAACGAACTTCTATTAATTTTACAATATTCTTTCATTTCTAGGGAAGGGGTGTTACCATAGGAAAGATAACTGCGATGAGTAGTACGCCTGGGTTGAAGTAGTTACAAAATCGAGCACATTAGCCCCAAGTTTGACTAGAACTTATACCAAAGAAAAGTTTTATGAAAAAATGGCTGCGTTAATTATGGACTGAGCTTTTCGACGTAGATTGACTAGCGACAAATCAAAGATGGCTCCTTTTGGAAGAAAGGAACTTGGTGTTGCTTTAATTTTTCAACGTACACTTCAGCAGAATTTTTCATGTGAACCCCCACTTTTGGAGGATTCTTCATTCAGCTTGTTATCTAAGATAATCCTAATCAGTTTCTGTACTAGATACCACAGACTAGGTCACTGGGTAGGTAAGAATGTGTCGCTTTTTGAAATTTTTCTCAAGCAGCAATGATTTCTGTAGTGGATGCAACTTTGCTGATTGCATTGTAACAATGTAATAGTTTTCTCTCTCTATAGGCAACTTATAGGACTTCCGATTTGGATTCTGGGCAAAAGCTGGTGACATAGTCATGTCATACTAGCGCAGTGGCAGAAATCGAGCGGACTTCGTTCGTCGGGAACGCCCTTGCAGTAGTAGACCTCCCAGTTACGAATGTCTGTGGTAAACAAAACGCCGCGCGAATCCGGCAGTCGATGCCGATGTGCCACAACATTTTTTTCCATCAATATCTCTGCTCGCATATTATTCGCATCTTTCCTAATGAATATTCGATCTCTTGATTTAGAAATGACGTCGAGGATAAGCTACAGAACCGCAGCACTATTACGAAGCATTAGAGGGATTAACACTTTCTCAGAAGTACGCACTATTCACGCTGGTCTTCGATGTTATGCCAGAGATGTAGACGACGACAAAGCTTCGAGTACGGTCAAAAAAGTCATCAATAAGGTAGAATTTATCATCTTCTAATTTTCCAGTCACCTATAGGAACCTTGAATGCAAAAAAATCGTCTTCGAAAGTTTTTCATGGAAATACTGTGTTAGTAATTTTTCCATGAAATTTACGGTGTTAGTAATCCTTTACCCATCAATTTGAAATTCAAAATAAATCAAGTGGTGCTGCTTTGCTTACAATGCTTTCCACTACATTAGTGGTTGAAGCCTTTATTTTTTTATGTAGTTCTAAAACATTCTTCCGCTACCTCGCATTTTTGATAGATCACCTTTTTAGGTCTTCGATTCTGCCAAAGCAGCCTCGGAAACCATAAAGGATGCGGTAGGCATGGTCATCCTTTATGCCAAATTTATTCTTAGTGCTTATGATTCCAGAATCAAGGACTCGGTCATAATTACGCTGATTCCGATGACAAGGTGGGTATCTGCTAATGCTATTTATTTTTGAAGATAAGAAAGTTCTCGTCTGTTTTTTTGTTTATGTTTTATTTTAAGAATTCTACAAACATAATAGCTGTCAGATGGTAAACTTTGATTTTGTATCGGCCCCATCTGAGCTTATGATATTCATAAATCAGAAAAGTGAACTTATTTTCAACACAATCTGTGCATGCTAAAAATCATTGTAATTACAGATGGTTCCAGAAGAATCCAAGAAGAAAGGTGCCAATCTTGAAGATGTGAGTTTTTTCTTCAACGTTATCCATTTTTCATGTCAAGATTTATTTTCACTTCCACTCGATATATGATTTGATAAACTCAAGAGGCAGTCCGCTTTGGCCTTTAATGTTATTGCATTTTATCGTACCTCATATAGCTCAAATCTTACATAAGAAGCTCGCATAATTATTTTCATAGCTAGAAGACTGAGTTCTGTTCTCTTTCTATTTTCGGCTTTTCAGCCAGATGAAGTGGCAAGACTTGCTATGGAAGCTGCTAAGAGATCGCATCCGACGACTAAGGTAAGCACAGCTACGTAATAACATTTTGCGTATACTACTTACCTCAAACCGTATCATGCTTTTACCAAGTCTAATTCAGGTGTTCAAACCTGAAGAGGACGTGCCAGACCGTGAAGAAGCGATAATCAAAGAGGCTATCAAGGAAGTTGAAAATCTAGGCGTCCCAGAAGATACGGTATGAGATTTAAGTCCGCTATGAGCAAAAACACAATACAAGTTTTTCTTTGCAGAAAAAGGAAGCCGCAGAAAAGTTGAAGGATGTCGTTGAAGGAGCTGGTACACTCAAGTGAAAAACTAGCTTAGAATTAGCTATGCTCAGACTCGTTTATGTATAGAATATTGATTGTGATTACTTCGATTAAGCGTGTTTCATGTACATAAAGGTATTTTTGGCCTGTAATTCACAGCCTGGCAAGGTACATTGTTGCGGAAATCTGGAAGGGTAAGAATAGGATGTTTCGACTGAAAATTGGCAGTTTTCCAAACAAAAGGAAAATCATATCATCGACAGAAAATATTACTCATTTAATTTGGCTTGGTTATCGTATTCATGAAATGGTTCCAACCGTTTCATCTTTTTAGGCAGTGCACAAATCTATAGTACCTCAACAATTTTTCACCCAATCC